TAAGAATTTCTCATCTTTGTTGGCTAGGGCTAAAGAAGTTCAAAAGTTTCTGAATGTTACCAAAAATGTGATTGCAGGGCAACCAACATACAGGGCAATATGTATGTCATACAGATTTACACTATGGCATTCGCATCTATTTGCAACAGTGTGTCGGTTGTGGTCAGGGGCGTAACTTGGCCAATAGGTTTGGGGGGTGAAAAGGGTTTCTGCCCTGCAAAACTGAGTGGTGCCCTGCAGACCTCGTAGCAACGGTTTGTCTATAGGTTACTAGTGAAAGCTTTACCAGTGTACACTGGTCTTTACCAAGGACAAACTTCTAAGCAATAAAAACAAACTTGAAACTTCATTGCCTATGAAATATCTATTTCTCTACTTGAGCGTGAATTGTTTCTTTTATATTCACTTTATTTAATGTTGGTTTGCGAAATACTAGCTAATAAACAGCTAATTGGGGGGGGAGGGTACATGATGTAGACAGTGCAACGAAATTTAGCCCAGTGGGGCTAAGAATCAAGTTTAGTTAGGTAGGAGGACCCACCATGGTTGGGTCCGACGTGAAGAAAATTTTTGAAATTATTCCTTGTAAAAGGGCTAAAAAGCATCTTTCAGACAAAAATTTAGCAAAATACTATTGTGCTAAAAGAACTGATTGTTTATTGAAAATATTTTTGTTTATTGGGAAAAATAAGGAGGCGCTGCCAGGAAATATTTGGCCCAAATTCATTGCAGGAAATTGTTGATGCTTGCCAGGAAATTTTTAGCGTGAAATCTCCATTGCTTGATTTTAATATGAACATTAAATTCATGTTAGAATATTTTATGGAATGCTGTTTTCTTGCGATATACATACATACTGTATAATTTTTGTTCTGCACTACTAACAAAAAACGAAGATTAGCTTTCAATCATCTGGTATTATAAGCGTCTGTTATGCCAAATTTCATTCCTTTTTTTACATCAGCCATTCTATTTATGTAAAAACCCTCAAAGATAGCCAATCTTGTTACGTCAATTGTTTTGAAGGTGAGCATGCCCCAAACCTGTGTGGATGTGTCCATCATTATTCGTATTTTTCTACTGGCATTAGCATATATTTTTCATCACTTGCTTTATAGAATGTAAGCGTTTTGGTCTTAAATCTTTGCCTCTAGCACCACCCCTGATTTCAAAATTTTATTTCAACCATTAAAAAATAAAATATTATTCTTATATGTTGTATGAACTGATGATAAAAATGAGCAGCAAACATGAAACCCAGAGCAAGATGTATCGATATATCATTAGTATGAAATTGATATGATATGAAATTTAATCAAAGTTATTATAGATTTCAGATCTACTTTCTTTAACCTTGAAAACAAACTATGAGTATCGTGCTTGATCACGTTCTCCTTGATCATCTAATACAGTATAAACAAAATGATTCCTGTTCGAATAGCTGTGATCAAGATTGCAGGACCAACAATTAGTTCTTTCTAGTGTGACAGTTTGTTTTTAGGACAAATTTTTAAACAAATCAAGCAACTTGAAATATCAATTTCAGTGGCTGGAAACTTTCTCGAAGCTTCACAGGAAATCTTGAATTTTTTATTTGCTGCCAGGAAGAAAAATATCTTTTCAAGGCCTGGGGATGTCATGCTAAAACTCTAGTATTAGACGTTGGGGAAGGAAAGAAACGACAACCTTTCGTTTCAGATTGCACGTAGTTGTGAATGACAGAGGGAGATGTTGTTTTGATTGGGAAAATTTTATTTCCTGAACAGAAATGTGCAGTTTCTTGCATCGAGAAGGCCATGTTTACACATCCAAAATTAAAACATTGCAATGATACAGAAAGTGATTTACTGAATTAATGCAAATAAAAAAAAAATAATAAAAATATACGTGAAAAAGTTAGCAATTAGATGAAACAAAATCGGTATCTTAACGATTTATTATGTTTTTTAGTTCATGCACTGTTGAAAAGTAATAGAAAAAATGAAAAAAAAATTCTTATCTTGACCAAAGTGAGGGCCTTCAGCCTCTTATTCCCCTCCAGTGACGCCGTGCTTGTCATGAAAATAATTTACAACTTAAATTAACTTGTATGGACTCAACCTTGCCCTCGTAAACATATGCATCAATTTGTGCATCCATTGGCTATGACTTTCGGTAAGAAATGCTTTCGCTTTGCAAATAACGGAGCTTTTCCTTACATATCTGTTCCGTTCTCTAAAATGCAATGTCAGGAAGGGAGGTTCATAACAAATACGATATTTCCATTTCAAAATTCCTAAACGGCTCTTTACGAACTTCAGAGATGGCATTTCTGCGTGGCAATAAAGCTCTTCTTGGCGCCCTGCGAAATCTTCGATTGCCCTGCGAAATCGACGATTTTTTGGATTGGGGGGGTGTTACACCCCCCCCCCCACACCCCCCGGTAGTTTCGCCCCTGGTTGTGGTCCAATTTAGTTAACGAATTGAACGTTTTTCATTTTCTAGCCTTTAAAAATTTCTAAGAAAATTTCATTTTCATGCATTATGGTGCTGAGATATCAGTTATCAGGTATGGTAAGTATGATATTGGAGGCGTACATTGTATTTCGATTGTATTTACGAAGTGCGAGGTTGAATAATGCAGTGCGATATGAAAGGAAACAGAAGAAACAGTTGCCTAAAGTATTAAATGTACTTGTGATAAATTATTTCTCTTCCATTAAATATTCCTAAATCATGTGCCTAGCCCACTTGTTTTTATTCTCAGTTATTTAAACGTATCATTTGTTTCTGTTATTTTCTATTTCTTTCTAATTCACAGGAGGGGTGAGAAACATGGATTTTCCGACAAAAATCTAACAAGCTTCTATACTTTTCTCATAAATTTCAACATAACATAACGACATCAGAAGTGAAAAAAGAGCTTTTGATATATTGAATATTCTTATGTTTATTTAGATTCAAATTTTTTCCATCAAAACATGGCATTTAGATAAACATAGACAACCATGTTAAATTTTTGAAAAGAGCAGAGGTTTTCCGACAAAATAGCAGTTGAGCTCTGTAGTGGTGTTTTTGCTCCCTCTGACCCCCCTCTATCTACACAATTGCCATCGGCGCAGTTCAGCCACCATGGCAATTTTAGCAACCAAAATAGCCACCCTAGCAGTTTAAGCAACCAAAATTTTCAAAAATGTTTGGGGAGCATTCCCCATACCTCCTAGAAGCGTCTGCCTTAGGCATGCCTTATGATTTAATTTTTGTCCTGACCCGGGGCCCATAAATTCTCTCCACGGCCCTGGTTGTCTGGAATATATGAATACGTCCTTGCAGACTGCAGAGGCTCTACACCAGACCAATATCCTTGCAAAAGGCGTTGACAGTAAACTATACGTCTATCCCATCTCAGCTTTGCTAAATAAATTAGGTTGCCCCCCCCCCTCCTCCTAAAATCTACGACCTTTCTTAAGTTCATTGTAGAGAGCTGAAAATTACGAAAACAAAACTGACCATCGTATTTCAAGCATGAAAGGATGCAATAAGCAGGAACCTTTGCCGAGCAGTGGTGCTAGGCCTAAGAACAATTGCGCTAACGAGCATAAAACCGTGTTGAATATTTGACTATCTTGCAGACACCACTACAAGGCACGAACTGTAGAAGTTTAATACGACCAAAGTCAGATACGACCAAAGGCGTCCAACATTAAAAACGAGGTTATAGTTAGTGTGAATATGTATATCGTAAAGTAAACCAATTGGGTGACTTACACAACTCGAAAGTACAATATATGATTCGTAATTGCAAAAAAAACCGTTCGTTGAGTTCAAATGCGGCCACAACTTCCTGCGTGACCGCTCCGTGTATGTTCGATTCTTGACTCCCTCCCTCGACTGACCACAGAGGTTCGAAGTAATAAAAAAGGTAACAAAATCCAACCAACCACACATTCGTTAAAAAATTTAAGAAATCGCTTTGGCCTTTGCTATAATTAGCGACCAATGACTTGTACTTTACAAAACTTTATAAGACAGTACTATAGGTTTTTTGGACTGTTATATTTACTCTTACAGCGCCTACTTTAAAGCTCCTAGGTTCTGACTGAATAAGATTAAAACAAGGGATCCATTGGAAAAAATAGATTGCAATAAAATAATTCTCCGACCCTCAACTTAAAGAAATATATTGAGTTGATGTTACCGTTCAAATGTGCGCCCCTTATTCGGCGAGATCCTCTTAAACTTATTTTCTACTGGACCCTCAAAAGACCGCCCCCATTGATCTATATGAAAGTTTTTTTATAGATACTGTATTTCCTCTAAAAGCCCCCACCTTCAAGAAAGCAGTCCTCTTTAAAAAGCGCCCCTGAAACCGTAAAAATTCAAAAGCACTCCCCCCAAAAAATGTACCCTTCCTCCACAAAATCTTTTCTAAAAGGCAATATAGGAATAATGCTTTTAATCGTTACTAAGGTACTACGATAAGAATGACATTTAACTAATAACGTTTTGTCATACGTAAATGCAAAATGCGTGTATTTTGTTTAGAGTTTTTGTAATACATCATTGAAAAAATTAAGAGGTAAACGAATACGAATTGGTGGGGGCCAACAGAAATATTTTGCTGCGAAGCTTTAAAGTAGAGTTCAGAATAAAGAACTGAGCTTTTAGATTAGCCTGCAAAATATTGAAATGAGCCCCACGAGTCAGCCAGGAATAAATAAAATAATTTTATGGAAAATTTAAGCACTGAAATTAGAATAAACAGGAGACTTAAGGGGTAAACCATTGAAACATTTTAGGGGGTAAACCTGTGACTATGGCTACGAAGGGGGGAGCCTCAACCCCCTCTTTCTTTTTAGGCTGCCCCCTTCCTAGCGATAGTCATAGGAGTGCGTATTTAATTTGTATAAGCGCCCCCTCCAAACCGTCAGAAATTTTAAATTTAAAAGTGCTTTTTGAAGGACATACGGCACAGGGCAGTGTCTCTTTATGATGAAGAGGCTCCCTCGCCCTTTTCAACAAACACAGGGTCACAGAAGAGGTCGGGTGACTCACAAAAAGTGCAGCACAAGAAGGGAATGTGTAGTGCTAGGTTATTAACTCCAAAGCTTCGACTGTACTGTGGTTTGTTGTTCTCGCTCATTTGAATATTGATTAACCTTTGAAGTTCTTTATAAAAGAGCAACATGTTGAAGTGGCTTTCTCAAGATGACAAGAGGAAGAAAGACCCAGAGGTGTTCGACTCTGTCGTGGATGGTCTGAAACGCCTCTACAAGACTAAACTCTTGCCCCTGGAAGACTACTATCGTTTTCACGAATTTCACTCCCCAATCCTCGAAGATTCTGACTTTGGTGCAAAGCCGATGGTTTTATTGGTCGGGCAGTATTCTACTGGAAAGACAACATTCATAAGATATCTACTTGAAAGAGAGTTCCCAGGAATGAGAGTAGGCCCCGAACCCACGACAGACAGTTTCACTGCTGTCATGTATGGGGCACATGAAAGGATAATACCTGGAAATGCCCTTGTTGTTGACCAAAAAAAGCAGTTCAGGACTCTAGGAAACTTTGGAAATGCCTTTTTGAACCGCTTTAGCTGCTCTGAGTTAGCGAGTTCTGTGCTAGAAACTTTGACCCTAGTTGACACGCCTGGTATCCTAGCAGGAGAAAAACAGTCCATTAGCCGTGGTTATGACTTCACCGGGGTTTTGGAATGGTTTGCAGAAAGGGTGGACCGAATTATCCTTCTCTTTGATGCCCACAAACTGGACATATCAGACGAGTTTCAACGCAGTATCCAGGCACTTCATGGTTACGATGATAAAATCCGGATTGTTTTAAACAAAGCAGATATGATTACTACCCAGCAGCTAATGCGAGTCTATGGAGCTCTGATGTGGTCTCTAGGAAAAGTAATAAAGACGCCAGAAGTTACCCGAGTGTACATTGGTTCATTCTGGGATCAGCCTCTCTCAATTGATGACAATAGAAAACTGTTTGAAGCAGAGGAAAATGATCTTTTCAATGACTTACAAAGTCTACCTCGAAATGTTGCCTTAAGAAAATTGAATGATCTCATTAAAAGGGCAAGACTTGCAAAGGTATGATAATATTCTCTTTCCTCATTTTTTATTTTAATTTATATTTGAATTTTCTTCTATTTGTTCCATATAAAGTCCAATTATATAGAAAAGAAGTACTACCATCCATATTATATTATATCATTAAAAATGTTTGGATCAATGAATATGGCTGTGTTAGCTTGGTAATATGCAGACCTACCAAGTAACACGCATTTTGTGTGAGACACACACAATTCTGTCCTTTCTCACTCTCACACGCATCAAAGCAGAATTCTCACGCATTTTGCAACAAACACGCATTATTGGTTCATATAGATTTTTCAATTTTATTCCAAATCCTAGCAAAATCCCTCTTTCCTAACAAGGCATGTTAGCTTGATAACAGCGACTAGATAATCAGAGAACTAGATAACAGCAAATCTATTTCATGATTATCTACTGTTATAAATTCTTTCTCAAGAAAAACTGAGTAGAATGGCGAAAAACAAAGTCCCTCAACCCCCACCCACTTCTGTGTGGTTCCTGCTGAAAAGGCGTTTCCGAAGAACTAGAGGGCGTGGTAAAATAAAATTTTCTGGGGCTACACCCTGGGGCCCTACTATTGGATGTGTGGCAGTCAGGATTCGTTCTGGACCAAAAATTTTCCCCTCCTTTTAAAAAATCTCACTCATTTTCAAAACCAAAACTTGTTAGGTCTGAATGCGACAACTATGTTTGTACTACAAGCTAATTGAAATATGATATGAGAATATCTACAATAGCTAGAGGTATTTCTTTTGTTTCTTTGTATGTGGTTAAGGAGTCTATATCAGAATTTCTGTTTTGACTTCCTTCATTGTTAGAAGGAAACACTTTTGAGCTGCTTTTACTTCATGAGAGTAGGACACTTCGGTAAGAGCTGAACAGTTCTTTAAAAGAGTCAAGGTGTCTTATCTGGGCAACCAGTTTATTAGACATACTTTTTCTGGTATCACATTTTCTGAATTGAATTAGACTGAGAACCATGCCACTCTTCAAGAAAAAAGACACACAGTTCACTAGTATAACTGATGAGCTCTCTTTGCTTTACAAAAAAAGATTGCTTCCAATTGAAGAGCTGTACGAGTTTCATTCACTTAGTTCACCTATGTTGGAAGATTCCAGTTTCAGTTCAAAGCCAATGGTGATGCTAGTTGGTCAGTACTCAACTGGTAAGACATCATTCATAAAGTATCTCATTGGCGCTGATTTTCCTGGTATGCTTATAGGCCCAGAGCCTACAACTGAAAGTTTCACAGCTGTCATGCATGGCCGGGAAGAAAGAGTGATACCTGGTAATGCCTTAGTCAGTGATACAACAAAGCAGTTCAGAACATTGCAGAGTTTTGGAAATTCTTTTTTGAATCGATTTAAATGTTCTGAAATGCCTAATCCGGTCTTAGAGAATATGACAGTTATTGATACACCAGGGATCTTAGCTGGACAAAGCAGTCAGTAAGCAGAGGGTATGAATTCAGTGGTGTTTTAGAATGGTTTGCTGAAAGAGTGGATAGAATTATATTGATGTTTGATGCACATAAGTTGGATATATCTGATGAGTTTGAAAATGGTATTAGAGCCTTACATGGATTTGATGATAAAATTAGAATTGTTTTAAATAAGTCAGACGTGGTTACAACTCAGCAACTGATGAGAGTTTACGGGGCCTTGATGTGGTCCCTTGGCAAGGTGATAAAGACACCTGAAGTCAACAGGGTATATATTGGATCGTTTTGGGACCAACCATATTTCCATGTTGACAACAAAAAGCTGTTTGAGGCTGAAGAAAATGATCTAATCAAAGATTTGCAGAGTTTGCCTATGTCTGTAACATTGAGGAAGTTGAATGATATTGTTAAAAGAGCAAGGTCTCTCAAGGTATGTGTTAGGATGTTTTAAGTTCCTGTTTCGAAAGGAGGAAGCTCATTTACATTCAACAATTTAATCACATTTTTTGGACTTATGGTTGGTTATTGCTTTTCTATGGCCTGAATATATATAGGTGTTGCCAAGTTATACAAACTCTTATGTCTATTTCATTTGCTTGTGAATTGCAATTTACCTTGGCTTCCTGAAGCAGATGTAAGTTTGTTTAAATGCTCAATTTTCAAAGGACTACATATTTAAAAATGCATGCTAAAAATATTCTAGGTGTATTTCATCATCTTCAAGGCTTATTCACATTACAGAAACATGAAATAATAAGAATTATGAAAATGTAAGCTGCATATGCCTGAAAAGCTTTCCATATTCTTTCCTAAAAATAAGCTATCCATCTTTTCCTGGTGTCCTATCAATTTCAAGAAAAAGCTCTATATTTGATGCACAAGTGTAGCAGTTTCAAAATTTTTAAAGACATGGGGTATTAGATATGTGATTTGTCATATACAGTATAATATGCCCAGACTTGCCTGTGATTCAAAAGTCACATTTTGGATTTGTGATGACACATCAGAGATGACACTGGTTGCACCCTGTTTTCTTTGTATGTTATTGTTCTTGTAGGGAAATTTTGCACTTACTGCCTTTGTTTGTTGAATGGTTCTGTAGACATTGTCTGTGTTCTGTAGACAATTGCAAAGAGTATCATCTGATTTGGATTAATATAAGAAGAAGACACACATAAGGTGTAACAATCACCTTCACAACTTCTGTGATAAAGCCAGGGCTCTTGCTTGATATTACTAGAAACTGCTAGCAGCAAGACTATCAGTTTTTTCTTTTTGGAAGGCATCAAACTAATACCTTAGTCTGACTATTCATTTAATGGAGTAAAACTCTCTGTGCTGAAGGTCAACATGACATTTTGCCAGATAAATGAATTAGGGTCTGTAGCAGAAGTATCCAATATTTTCTGACTTAGCAACATACCAAGAATGATGAAGCCTCATAGAAAGAATGCAAATATTAGCTTAATTAACTATAAATGTTTTGATTTGGCATTTTGGTGGCTGTGTGGCTAGGACTCACAAAAATATGAGACTATTACATCCTTGAAAATGTCAGTTCTCATGGAATGCAAATCTTTATGTTTTTTCTAATAGACTCTTTATCAGTTAAAATGTATACATTATTTATTCATGGGCATTACCTCAATGTAATTACACTACTTGGCTATTAACACACCACTTTCTTTGAATTAATACTTCATTATCTAGGAATCATTGAACAAAGAAATGCACCTGCAACTGAAATTAACATTATGCCATCTTTATCTCATTTATTACTCATAAATTGGCTCCCCTACCTGACTCAAAGCACTGTGTACTCAAAGTTTTTGTGCTTAAGTGAATGGCTATTGTGAAATGCAAATATAAATCCTCCTGTCAACTATTCTGTATTATAACAAGAATAGTTTATATACTGAATTCTCAGTTTTTTGTTGTTTGGTTGTAGGAATTCTTTAAAGGGGGAAGGAGAGTAAATTTTAATGTGTCGAAATTTCTTGAAAGGTTTCTGTTTATTCAATAACACATATATTGCTGCCACCAAATCATCATTGTCACAGAGCGTCACTTGCAGCCATCATTACTTATTCATGTTCTCTCATATGTTTTGTGGGCACCATATTTATTTTTTCTGATAACTTTCCGGATAATCTTACTGTTTAAACCTTGCTTCACTTTCCAGTAATTAATCGTCTTGTATTGTGAGCTTTCAGGTGTTCAAAGCTTGGGAAAATACTAGGGACCATGCCCTTTGAACATTTGCAAACACTTATTTTTTGGTAAATATAAATACGAATATGCAAGCACTAAACGTTTTGAAGACAACTTTCAGAAATTCTGTTACCTTTGATTTCGTTAACTTTCGTATGATGTTGCTAAAGTATAGTATATTGGTAAGCACCTTTCTATATTTTATTCTCAGTGAAAACTATTTTTGTTTTTAATGTTATTTTCCATCCAGAATATTTTCCAATTCGAGAACCAACCACTTTTCCTAACCTTAGGTCAGGATACATTGGTTCTCATCTGCAGTCTTTTACCATAAAGAGCACTTGTTCAAAGTAAAATCATTGGTTGGGTCATGAAATTGTAACTATTCATCCTTCAGACAGGCTAGGACTTTATTATAAAGAGTTATGCAACAGTTTCTGTAACTTTCCTGAGGAAATTCTTCCACTGGTGGCACAAAAAAAGGGTTTTGGCTGAACTGAGGTTCACTACTTGTTGGTTGCACTAAAATCTGTTTGCTTTCAAGAATCGCAATATTTTTTACAAAATTGATTCATCCGATATGAGTGCTGTTTGTTTCATCAATTAAATAAGCTTAGATAACTGAGCGGATTGTATAGGCGATTTCCAGAGGGGAAGCCTTTGGAACGGCGTAAAGTCAACACCTCTGTAAATGTATTTGTTTAAAAGCAAGCATTTTTTAGTTTTTTTTTCTATTTGTTAGGTTCACGCATTCATAATTTCCCATCTGCGAAACGAAATGCCGGCGGTTTTTGGGAAAGACAAAAAGAAGCAAGAATTGTTGAAAAATCTGCCTGAAATCTATAAGAAGCTTCAAACCGAGCATGACATATCTCCTGGAGACTTTCCAAACATTACACGCCTAAGAGATAATTTGCAAAATCATGATTTTACCAAATTTCACTCTATGAAACCAAAGTTGATACAGGATATCGATCATATGTTGGCCCATGATATCGCCCGGTTGATGGAACAAATACCATCAGAGACAGAGTCCATGGCTGAGGTTCATCGTGTCAAAGGTGGTGTCTTTACAAGTGGCGAAGCTGGTACATTCAACCCTTTTGCAACTGGTGCAACAGAGGGATATCAGCTTGGCGCTGGAGATTCGGGATGGATTGTTGCCAAAGATAAACAAAAGTAAATTCTCTAATTTGTTTTTTATTTTTTGAAGTAAAATTGTTTCTTTGTTCTTCAGTCATTTGTTACCGTCTTGCCTTCCTGCTCTGCATACCGTGCCTCAACTTGTATGCCTATCCGCATCATATCGTTTCCATGCGATGTGTATCTGTTTTCAACTGTCTTTCTACCCAGTGCGTAGATCTTATTTTGAAGGTCTTCCATACATTGCGTCCTAATTTCCCTTCACATCTAAGGCATATAATGGTTGGAAGGTATCTTCGTGCATTTTTGCCGTTTTTCAACCATCTGCCTTTCAATTTTACACTCTATTGAAAGATTTTCCATTTAGTGCCAACCGACTTTTACAAATACCCTTCAAAAGTATCCACTGTTCTTGTGATATTTCCATGTACAGTCTACTTGTTTTCAGCCTTTTGTCAATACCCAGTTTTTTATTGTATCTCCATAAATTGTATTTCCGTCTTTCTGTCTCCAAATTCAAACATCATCCCAACACCAGAAAACAAACTTCTACCCTCTTCCCATCTACGGAATACACTGTTTCAATTTTTTCATATGTTTATAATTATATATGGTATGGTGTATTGATTCGAATCTGTACATCTACCTCTTCTATGTCCCATTGCAAATGCCCACCATTAAAAGGCATCTTCTGCTGTAGGTCTATCCACATTATTATTTTCTGTTTTATGTAATGTATTCAGTTTTTTGGCGGTACATAACTTGAAAATGGCTTCGAAAAAAGCAAACATTTCACAACATATTAACTAAAAACTTTTTCGTCTGACACTCCTCAGACATTTGACACCAAAAATCATAAAAAATTCTCTTTTACTTTTTCATTAGCTTCAATCAGTTTTTCCATTAACCCAGTAACGTTTTATTTGATAGATTCTTTTACTTAAGCTTATTGGTTTTCATTTGAATTCAGTTCTATGATATCATAGCTGTCTAGAAACATTATTTTGAACTATTACTGACCTTGAGTCATATCATTTCTAGGTATGATATAATTTTCGAGTCACTGTGTCCTGTTGATGGCCGAATCACGGGGGCAAGCGCCAAAACAGAGATGATGCGATCAAAGCTGCCAAAGAACGTCTTAGCAAGAATCTGGGCACTAGCTGACGTAGATAAAGATGGTCACCTTGATGAGGATGAATTTGCACTTGCCATGTACCTTATTGATGTGAAATTAAAGGATGACGATGAGCTGCCTGGAGAATTACCTTTGCATCTTGTTCCTCCAACGAAGAGAAAAACATTTGTTTCTTCAAAGGACTGAAGGTATTGACTAATATTTCCGGTTTATAACAATTGATTATTTAATAAAGTCAAAGGGGTAGTGTAAGAAATCTATGGTTTTGGTAAGTATGCTGTTGTGAACTTGATGAAGTTCTCTCTCGGGTAGAGCCAGGCTGTGGATAAATCGGTTGTTTCGTTTAGTTGAAATGGTATTAATGAATCTTGCATGGTTTGGTGAAGTTCTACGGTTAAATGGTTCTAATTCATACTTCGGTCATTTCGAATTCTCACTCGGTTTGCATGTACAACACTGCCTGGCTATTTTCTTCATCAACTTTCCAATAAAATTTCATTACTATATCAATCATCGTATAACTTCAACTCCTGAATCATCCTGGTTTCATTAAAACTCGCTGAACTTTGATATCCTGTCTCTAAATGACCACGTCTATGCTATCTACATCAGCATATTTATCAATCCCTAAATATACTATTTTTCTTATCACTACAATTAATTTGAAAATTTCGTGTTGTATTTGTATTACGGCGTTTCGGATATAGTAGACTGAAAGTTAGGCTATCTTTAACTTGCAGCTTTAGTTTCCGGTAGTAAGCGATGTCAAGTGATGAATTACTTTTTGTTCCTTTGCGTTGCTATTTGGTATTATTTATGTGGTACTTCTCAAAGTTTAAAGTGCGTTGTGCCTTTTTGCCAGCATTGCTTATTGTCCGTTAGTTCACTCTTTGTCGACACGTTTTCACCTGCAATCACCTTTTTATAGTAAATGTTTATAGAAATTAGGTCGCAACTTTATATCGTTTCTTTCTTTGTTAGTAAATGTTTCAGAGCCTTCCAATAGGGAGGCAAGTCATTGAAAAGAATGGCACAGAGTTTCAGAAGAATTAAAGATTAGACAGTCAAAAAGTAGGAATGAAAATCACATAAAAATTAATAATTTTTGACGGTAACTATCAACAGACATAAACTGACCTGTTATTTAGCCGGTGAAGAGAATACCTTTCGGTTTTAAATATTCTACTAACGATCGTGTGATAAATATCCAAACTTTGTTTCCTGTCAGGAGTTCTTCTTGAAATCCATTCAAGTTTTTTCTTCCTGTTAAATCATTTTTTACAGTATCATATTTCATTATAGTTCTCTAAATTCTAAAACCCTCTCCATCTCATTCAATGGTTGTGCCTTTTTGTATTATCAAAGTAGAGGAGCTGCCTTTGTCAAATGCAACTCTATGTATTGTACCCGAGTAATTTCGAGTCTTGTCTTAATTCTTGTTATTTCGTCTTTGATCGTATAAATGTCAATTTATCAAGCCAGATTGATTCTAGTAGTTTATTCTGAATATTTTTATGTCCACTGAATTAAATACTTGTGTTTGTGAAGACTAAATGAATTTGAAACAACTTTCTGCAAATTTGCTCTTTTCCTTATGCAATCTAGCTACTAGCCCATATGAATCTTACAATGACATTTTTCATATCTGTAAAAAAATTCATCATGTTGATTATACCATGAAGAGGAAAAAAATAATTTTTTTTAGTTTTTTGGTCATTTTGCAAATACGTTACAAAACATCGACCGGACTCACTTTTAAACTCTTCCAGTACAGAAGTGAAGAGTAATTTGATTTTTGTAGTCTTGTTTTACTTTCTTAACCCCTACACCAATTCCTGTTATGGTAATTAACTTTCCACAACTTTATAAGGTATATTGAAACTGAATGTTCGTGGCTATAAACTTCCAAGGCATATGGCTTTGATGTACATTTTGAAGTATTTAGCACAAGAGTTGAGCCATGGTTGGCGGACTAGAAAGATTAAGGAAAAACATTTATAATGTTCTTGGATATAATTAATATTTCTGTCTTTGGTTTTTTATTGGTAAGGGTTTTTTGAAAGAAACGTACAAAATGCAGAAAAATATTTGCGAAGTCTTGCTTTAAGTATTCCCTCAATGTTTTGAAATTCATGTGGAAAATGGTTTGTAAGTTCAAACCTTAATTGATAAAAAATTATCTGGGCAACTTTTTTCCAACTCGTTTTTACGATTTTTTTCAAAAAAATTTGATTGATTGTGTCGTCTTTTTTCTCTGTAGCGTTGTGTTTTGTGAGTGCTTTGCTTGCCTTACTTTTTACTTGTCAACATTCATCAGTTTTGATTTTACTTGTAGTAGGGGATGCCAGGAAAGGCAAATAGGCCAATTATCAACCTTTTCAAAGGAAGGGGTGCAGGTATAAACGTTAAAAGATCAGATTGAATTGACCGATTTTTCCTCGAGTTTATGCAAATCGAAAGATTGCGCGAATGCTGTATACTAGGAAGGGAATGCCAAAATTGGAACAAAAGATTGTTGATGGAGGACAGTACGCACTGACGGTTAAGTAGCCTGGGTACCAGAGCCACGGAATTTAGAGCGCGTAAACAGACTTCTTCTTAGATAAGGCGTTGATAGCTGGCCTAGTTTTTCTGTCGCAGTACAAAATTTTGCGGATGAATAAAGTAAGATCAACGGAGAAATAAGGCTGGATAGTATTAGAAATAATGGGTTTCTATGTTGCTTGTGACGAAGAGGTCGTTAGTGAGACGTACTTTAGAGCTTGATCTTAGCTTAGAGAGAAAGGGTAGTTTGTCTTGGTATGCCTCCCCATATGTTGGAAATAATAATCTTGCGGTAGGCGAGTTATAGGTTTAGATATAGAGAGAAGAGAGTTTGTAGGTGGGAAAGTAATTTCGAAAACAAGGAGAAACCTAGTTTTAGGGAGGTACCTTTGGCTATGATATTTGGTAGATTTCGAAATACTAAGGGTTGTCCTGTTCGTTGAGATTGAGGGGGTCTTTAGCAGCTGGAGACGATGACTTGGTCAACTCAGATCAGCAGAATTGTATTTTATCTATTCACACGAAATCCATTTTGAAATCACCTCAATTCATAATGTTTAATGATGTCGGTATATGTATATTCTTTATTGGGAAGAGCATCGCCACCTCTTTTTTAGCTCTGTTGAGTGCTTTTACAATCACTCCTTTTTTAAATTTTCCATTACGGTTGAAGCAGCAAGTCAGTTAGGAAAGGTATATAGAAATATGTATTGCTATGTCGCATGTCAATCTCATTTTTTTATTATTTTTTCTGATAAAAATTAGTGCGTTGTTTGAAATGAATATTCAATGGATAATGAAGCAGGCTCTTACCATATGTAACAAATAAACAAGAGCACATTTTGTTCTAGACCAATCAGCGGGTTTGTTTACAAAATGTCATTAGCCAATCACCTGCCTCCATTTCGAGCTTGATTTTTCAATGTTTCAAACCCAAACAAAATTGCTGTGGAGCAAAACCTACCCCCATACTTTTGCCCGGGGAAATATGTACGTTTTTATACAAACAAGGTTTTTCAAACCATGTTCAAACTGAGTTGCACAAATTTCGGAACCCAAAGCAGAAACAGAAGCCGTTTGTAAAATATCTGCAGTGAAACATCACCTATTTCCAACCCCCGCCCTACCACCAAAGATGCCCACCCCCTAATTTACTTTTTATGAAGCTTTCGTTAATTAAACAAGGAAACATCTGATATTTTGTGCAAGCAAATCACACAGCCGTCACTGGGAAATATTGAATTTTCTAAAAAAACTAGGCTCTATAATTCCCTGTTCAGACGTCAACACTACCGCACGGGATGCCTAGGCCCTTTCTGAGCTTCCACCGATTTTGACCCACGACGGGAATGCCCTTTCTCGTAAAAAGAGTATTCTTAAATTCAAGCTATCCAATATTTTTAAACATGGCTCCTTGCCCTAAGCTGGGAAAATCTAAATTTTTAGAAAAAGCACATTGAGCTATACCTACTGTAACCTAGGCAAGCTAAAGTTTTTTACTACTGTACATAACAAACCAGCAAAATAGTACACCAAACTATAGTAGATAACGAGAATATTAATTAAGAAGGGAATATGTGCAACGTACATGATTGATGGTTATTTTGTTACCGAATCAATGCACGATTCTGTTGATGTTTAGGAAGCTTAAAATCTTAATTTGCCCTAGACTATGGGATACACCCATGTCACGCCCAAATTTCAAAATTCCACACCCTTTACAAGGTGTACAAAGACATTTTAGAAAAAATATCTCCGGTGTGCACTTGTTATATTTTGCAGTTTGGCTCATGAGCCTTGGTTCTTGATTTGGCCTGGCAAAAAGTAGGAGTATTAAAAAAACCAATTGGCAGCCCTTCAACATCATCTAGTCAAAATTTTAGCAAACAAAGGCAAGAATTTTACATACATATTCCTGCTTGTTTTGCAGTTCCTCTATTATCTCCTTTAGTGCATCAACCTCCTTCTTGAATCTACTGTTCCTCTTTTGACATGCTACAAGTTTTTTCGACAGCACGGGACACTTGAGGCAGCAAAAACCTTGTGTTGATGTCAAAAATTCATCAGTTTGGGTTTCCAGAAGCGCTTCATCAAAGGTCAGTTCTACTACGTTAATTCAAATCCCGCTTGGACCCAGCTCTAATGGAAGAACGAACGGCCCTTCTCCGGCTTCTTTTCTACCTTGGCGAACCTAATAAATAAACTTTATAGACCTAAGGCCCAAAAAACACCTTGAAAGTGAATGAAACGACAAGAGTACACAGATTTTCAATAAAATAGTCAACTTGAGATGAATTCTTTATTAGAAACCACCTTAATATACTTTTACTTTGACTAAAAGCTTCAGCTTTCGCAGTGGGGCATAGAATAAAAATCCCCGTGAAAAAGTTAGACCCAAGTTTTACACCCCTTTTTCTTTTTACGTCGATCTCTCTCGGTTTCATTTTTGTGTGGAATGGTTTCTGCTGCATCGATTGTCGGATTTGCACCAATTTCAAGACGTCTTAGGTCTGTGATGTTTCCACTTGAATCCCCAAGATCGATGTCAAGCCACCTGACGAAATCAGTTGGTTTAGAGTGGATCGAGCACAACGCGGATGTTGCTGATGGGGTAAAGCTGGCGCGATTTCTTCGAACGAAAGAAACTCACTGTCTTCTAGAGTCCAGAAAAGTTGTGAACTTTCATCCGGCCATAATAATCTTACTATAAAGCCTTCTTCATTTTAATGGGTTTGAAATGGGCGTGGTCCGAAAACGGGGAACACCACCAGTCTTGATTCCGTCTCCTGGTTATTTTGTTTCTTTCAAAACTTATAGATATTTATAGATATAAAATTATAGATATTTTTAGAAGCCGATGTTAAGTAGAAAGCTTTTATCGATTGATAAAAATTCGTATAATTCAAAAATTTAAATTATAAAAAGTTAGTGTCTGAATTTTACAGTGCATGGCTGCATTTTAAAAAACAAAAGGCTAAAAAATTTCCATCTTTTCTCAAGTTTCCAAATTGTTGGCCATCCTCCTCAATTTCTCTTTGTTTCTACAACCATACTCTGGGCAGTGGCCGTGGGGACGTGATGTTTTCCTGACTCTGCTGTCTTCTTTGCTGCTCATTCTTTGGGAAGATGTACATCGATACCCCTGGTTTGTATCATAAGTTCCACATCTTTGATTGGCTCAAAGATAATATTCCATTATCTTTGATTGGCTGAGCAATCTAAATTCGGCATACCTCATTGACCAATCAGAGTTCAAGAATATGATAACAAACGTGCTTCACAGCAAGTTTTAGGCCTATTTTGCACCTTTTTACCACTACTTACAAAAAACGTGTAAAATGTGCTGAAAGATAACCTAATTTTTTGAAATTTAATCTTTGATAAATTTATGAAAAAACTGCCGTTGTATTCGTTGTATTTTGCGTGAAAAAATTTTCTGGTTGTCTGAAAAATATTCAAAATGATCCCCGATCACAGAAAATGTAAGAAAATAAAATGTTTAACACAGCAAATTAATTTTTTCGTAAATGATGCATATTTCATTTTCCCGCCCTTTCATCTCTGACGAATTGCATCAGCTTTTACACGGCCGTAACAGTGAACATCAGTAGACGTGATCTTCTCATCGATCTTAAAGCTCTTAAAATATGTATATAAAGTACCTGAGCGCAAAAGTAATTGTACAATTGTAGTTATTTCAAGAGAAAGATGGGCTGCATTTTTTCTCAGTGGAATTTAGCGATTTTTTCCGTCAGTAACACAGGCATCAATGCCGACAAGAAAATATTTTAACGTTGGCTTGTAAAGGTAAGTTCATATTTGTTAATTACGTGGGTAAAACAACTTTTAAGGATTTTGTAACTGTAATTTTTCCGTGCTCCCTCCCCCTAATTATTATAAGGATTTGAAAGTGATAGTTCCGAACGATCGTACCTAACGTTCGCGGAAAATTTTTTAATTAGTACAACGGCAGTTTTTTCATGAATTTATCAAAGATTCAATTTTAAAAAAGAAAATAAGGTTACCTTTCAGCACATTTTACACGTTCATTTTTTGTGGGTAGTGGTAAAAATGTGCCCAAATCTAGCTGCGAGGCACGTTTGTTGTCATATTCTTGAATTCTGATTGGACCATGTGGTATGCCGAATTTAGGTCGCTCAGCCAATCAAAGGCTTAGAGCTATGCTCTGGCGTGTAACTATTATTCATACAGCTGGTATCGCTTGGTACCCCAGGAGCACAATATCTTTCTTTCTCTCCTTTATATTTCTTCTTCGTTACCTCCATGTTCACGAGTTTCTTGTGTACTAACTACCGTAAATCCTCAAATTGCCACCCCCCATTGAAAAAGCCCCCCTCCCCTCGAATAAGCCTCCACTGCTGCCGTAAATTCTCAAATTGCACCCCTCCATTTGATGATTTTTGCCATCTTAGGTTGCCTATGGCGTTGTTTGTTTAAAACCATACAAATAACAAGCTCAGCTTGTCAGAAAACTAAGAAAAATGGTGTAATATCAACCGCAGCCATGCTGTACTGGGCGTTGTCCCACAGCCTTGTGCCGAACGAGATCTGGGAGCCAGTATGCTATTGAAGTACTGTACCCACATTAAAGGGAAGAGTATTAGCATAGGCATTCTATACTGTTTATTCTCTTTCATATAGAGTGTTTTATATATATATATATAATATATTTTGTGATTATGAGTCCTTGCTAGCTCCTCAGCTAATCCACCAGGCACAGCATTTTGGGGCTTATGATCAGTATGCTCTTTTACACCTGGGTGCCCCCTCACTCCTGCGTCCAGGGATAATGCCAGCAAAGGTGTATCAATTTGTTGTAGCAGTGTATATAAAAAAGGTATATTGTAGCCATAGAAGCATGTATCATCCTTTGAATGTACAAATATATTGCATATATAGATAAATTCGTTATTAAAATGGGATATCCTGTTTATCCAGGTAAACCGCGAATAGAGAAAGCATTGGAGTTTGGTGTGACATAATAATTGTGTTGATGGTGTGGCATCGAGGCATCTTACAATGTCATATGATGCTCAAAATTTAGTATGAGTTAACCAACCTCCAAGGTTGTTGTGCCTTTGTAAGGCTAGAATAGGGGTTTGTGACCATATGTTTAGTAATTCTTTATCCTTTGTTATAATATTCCAGTGTTTTGTTGAGAATTTCACGGATGTGAATGGTGAGGTTGTCATAGGGTATAATGAAGGGTTAAACAGGGCCCTTCGGTGTGGAGAAACTGTCGTTATTTATTTGTTTAGATTCGAGCAGTTGCGATTGCGATAGTCTGATGACCTTGTTGAACTGTTCATTTATAACATTGATCTGATATCCCCTTATGATGAGGTTGTTTTTTAATTCTTGTAATTTTGTATAAAGCTCTTCGTCACTTGTGATAACTCTTCTGCAAATTAAGGCCTGGCTGTAAATGATTCCAGTTTTACAACTCCAAGTTAGGGGTCTGGAGCACAGGCTACTTTGGCCGCGCATTTTTTTTCTCACAAAGCGTCACGTAACTTAATTCTATTGTACCAGGAATAGATAATTGTTTTAATGAATATCATTTTGATTAAATGATTAGGCTCCGCGGTGCCTGATCATTGATTAATTAACAACAAGCACGGCAGTGGGCCGAGAAAAAACAACAATAAACGCACAAACAACAAGCACTAGAAGCGGCGCGTCGCGGTGCGTCACAGAGCGTTTTTCAAGAATGGAATTCAAGCGTTCACAAAATAATAATAATATAATAATAATCAATTAATTTACAGTAGGCGGGTATAACATAGCCATCTATGTACAATTTATGTACAAGCTAGTTCAGGCCTACTTTACAAAAATTTAGAATAAAAAGCAATTAAGGATGAATAATTAATAATTACATTTATAAATGAATTAGTTAATCTATGAAAGAAATGAAATTGAAGATTGAACAAAACTTTTTTTTAAATTTACAATGCGTTTATAGTTAAAAGATGTTTTTTCAATATTTTCACACCAAGACGACTATTTTTCCTAATTTTCAAGTCAAGGAATCCAACCTCAGCTACGTAGCATCTACATAATTTGCAACAACATTCTTCTCCGTTCCATTTTTTTTATCCGAGTTTTCAACTGAGCAAGATTTGATGACTCTTTTATTTCTGTGGACAACTTATGCCATAATTTCCCCCCTAGATATGAAATGGTTTCTATTCCAAAAGTGATAGTTCTGACTTTTGGAAGACGCATTTGGCTTCCGTTTCTTAGGCTGTTTTGGGGGCGTTTAACAAAAATATATCTTCCATAAATGCTGGATTAAGGTTATTATGTGTCTTATATATCTCAGTCATGAGAAGCTGTAAATTCTTTATGTGAATTTTTACAACATTATCCTTTTCTAAAAGTGTGGTAACATCGGAATTGTCATCTTTATAGGCGATTCGTAATGCCATCTCATGGAGGTGATTTATTTTATTATTAAAGCGTCTCTCACACAACATCCATATAAAAGGACATTAGTTGTACTGGGAAAGGATGGAGGCCTTCATAACTTGTTTTAGTCTTACAGTATCCATAACTGAGTACAATCCTATGTTCTTTCCATTCAGAATGGTTGTATCTGGATAAGATTATCGATGCGTTGGCAGTTAGGTATGGGTACGTTCACATATTACCTAATCAAAGATGGAGGGAGGGGGTTCACACAAATTTTTACGGTCGTAATGATCAATAAATGATGCAAATTAGATGATAATTTAGGGAGAAGAGGATTTTTCCAATGTTGCCTATATTTTGTTATGTAATTTGTGCACGTTCCTTTCTTGAATGATAATGCTCTTTCCAGGGCCTATTTTAGTGTGCAGTATTACACACTTTGTTCAGTATTAATTTAAAAACGTACAGTATTGATTTCCAAAATGTGCAGTATTGAATTTTGGGATTTGTGATAATGTCTTTTTGCGGCTATCCCAGATTCCTGCTTTGTTCACAAAATGTGAATTTTCCTCGTCAGTTCGATATAGAGTTCATGTATTGTAATTTGCGTATACAAAATCGGTAATCGGAAAGACTCTCTTATCAAAACTTAAAACAAAGCGAAATGCCCAAAACCAAAAACAAAACATCTCATGTAAATGTCAGCTTTGCTGTAAATTTCGTAATATGATCTTGTGGAGGATAAAACATTCAGTAATAATTTATCAGTTGCCCTATCATGCTCTGGGCATCTAGCAGAAGCTCACTTAACTTATCTAAAAGAAAGATAAAGAGCCTAATAAAACTTTTTAGTTAATAGATAACCTTTCTTCAAACAGACCCAACAACCTCTGTAATGTATCGGTCGTAAAAATCGGTATTACAGACCACTATATGACATACGTCACTAGAAAATTAAACGCTAGAGTTCATGTCAATGACGTGAAATTTAAGACAGAGTCAACCAGTTTGAGAAATTTTGAACGTGACTCTTTCCTTAATGACTTGCGTAGTATTGACTGGGAAATGGCTATGTCATGTAGATCGGATGACCCTGATAGGATGGCTAGCAATTTCTAAGATCTCTTTCTCGCTGTCTTGGATGTGCATGCCCCGTTGAAAAAAAGGACTGCTAAGACGGGGCATGCACATGTACCATGGATTTCTCCAAGCATCAAGAATTTGATGTGCGAGAGAGACCGTATTAAGAGACGGGCTGAGAAAGATCCAGCACTATGGCCAAGATATAAGCAGCTTCGAAACCAGGGGCGGTCTGGCGTCAAAATCGCAGGGTGGCTAGAAAACTCAAGGACCCGGTTTAGGGCGTGGCAGGAAAATTGAGCCACACCCACTAAAAATGTGGCTTAGAATACGATTGATTCAATAAAAATTGATAATAAAGCAATACGCTAAACAGCAGCAGTATATCGACTTTAATTCGTAAATTGGACCCAATTGGATCCATACCTTTCCTCTCGTGTAAACAGGCTTTAAAATCCCATGTAGAGTTAAGGATCAAGATCAAAACTTATTTAAATTCTCAGAGTTTCAACTCTTTTCGAAGAAGTGCAAATTAATCAGCAAATTGGCCAATGACTTGCTCGTAATCAAGTGGAAAGTCTTCTCTTCTTTTGAAATTATCAGTAGCGCTGAATGGTCTTTCAAAGGAAACTTGGGTGCAGCTAAGTGTCATACGCGTTGTAGAGGGAAGGGTATGCTGCTAGGTGCATGTTGTATTCACTAATTTTTTTATAAAAACCAGTAAATTTAGGTTCAGGCTGACTGTTCTTAATTTTCGCAAAAATCCGAGGGTGGATTGTCCTTAATTTGTTCTTAAATTAAATAGGGTGTAAATAGTGCGATTGCTAGCTTATTCGCTCTTGGGAGGTGCTCGGGCATTATTTGCCAACAAAGTGAGTGAGACAGCCTTCATTTGACGACAAGATTGAATATTCACCGAAAAGCAACCACACATGGCTAAAAATCCTCGTTTTTGGATAAAATGTTGTTCAAAAATGCATTAAACAGTAACTCAGCCTTAGCTTCTTCCTAATTTGATCTCAACTTTTGACCAATTTTGATGCTCATATTCTTATAAAATTGTTATATATGATAAAAGATATAAATAAATGAAAAAAATAAAAATGATCATCGGAACAAAGTTTTGAATGCGCAGGGTATGCACAGTTGGCAAGCTTTTACCCTTTTGATAAAGGATGTCGATGTCGACTTTGGGGATCCTTTCTCACTTTGTGAATCCCCACCTTGAGAGTCACAGTTTTCCTCTCCTGAGATCATCTGTTTTCAGGATCTATATTTCCACCAGTTGTTGTTTTCACTTGATCGATAAGCTGCTGGTAGCAATTTGCAAATGCCAGCAATTCTGACATTCTATGAACTTGAAATCTTGAAAAAAGGCTTTTATTGCCCTTTTGCTTCATCTTTGTGTCAACAAATCTCTTGGCATTGTTAAATCCAGATCTCTGTAACTAGATGATAGTGACGACCCCTTGTCTCTCTTCGGAATTTCCTGTTTTGAGTTTTACGTTATTTTCATTTACTGAAGCCCCCCTCCCAATAATTGCAGCCTAAGCCTTATGTCCTGTATAACAGTGTACTAAGTGGAAATAAATATAATTAGCAGCCGCCCCCCCCCAATATGAATTTCGTTCCCACAGCACTGTCTCTGACAGTCAGATACCCTGGGCATCAGAGCCACATAAATTAGAGAGCGGAAATAGAAGATAAGAGTACGCTCATTCGCTTCTCTGCTTGGCATTCTGTTTACGCGCTCGAAATTTTTTGGCGTTGGGACCCAGGGTACACGTAAGATTGAACACATGGCTGAAATAACGGAAACCAGGATTTGGGTGGTTTGAAGCGCATGTATTGGTACTTTAATCGCAATATAATCAGTCGCCACGCTGCCACCCGGGCCAGACCACCCCTGCTCGAAATTCCTAGTTTAATTGAATTATGAGATAGTTAGCAGTAAACTGATTCTCTGCTACACAAATTTGAGACACACTTTGCTTACCCGACATCTGTCCTGGCCATGTGCAAATTTTTGAGCGATATTCTAAATGAGACATGCGACCACAACCGCAAAAAAACGATAATCGGCTTAACCTTTTTCGCAACCTTATTCCGCATGCGCAGTAGAAAAGTTAACAGGGCTCAACCCTTTATCGTGTTAACATTACATTATTTCAAACCAATTTAGCCGAGTCCTCCTGGGCCGAGTCCTCCTGGGCCGAGTCCTCCTGGGCCGAGTCCTCCTGGGCCGAGTCCTCCTGGGCCGAGTCCTCCTGGGCCGAGTCCTCCTGGGCCGAGTCCTCCTGGGCCGAGTCCTCCTGGGCCGAGTCAGCCCGGGCCGAGTCAGCCCGGGCCGAGTCAGCCCGGGCCGAGTCAGCCCGGGCCGAGTCAGCCCGGGCCGAGTCAGCCCGGGCCGAGTCAGCCCGGGCCGAGTCAGCCCGGGGCGAGT